GATTCCTCAAGTGTCCATGGTGCTGTGCAGTTAAATTTGGCAGATTCATGTTATGTGCCAAAATCCATAAAATCAGATTTAAAATCATTTTTCTTTTTCTTTTCTTTTTTGTAGTTCAGGGAGCATGACTTTCCTTTTTCAATTTAAATTAGAATCAAGCTTGTTTGACATGCCAATCCCAGTTTCCTCTCCCTTCCTTTCTCCTCTGTCCCCACCCCCCTATTCTATTCCCTTTCTTCTCCCCAGTGAAGGGGAGGCCTGATATGAAGTATCTTCAAAATGTGTCATATCATTTGGAGCAGGGCCCTGGACTAGACCCATGTCGCTAGGTTGAGAGAGTGTTGCTCTATGTGGAATAGTCTACAAAAGTCCATTCATATGCTAGGGATAAATACTAATCCATTACCACAAGTCCCATAGATTGTCCAGGCCTCCTACCTGACAGTTATTTTCCAGGTGCCTGGAATAATCCTATTCTGGTTTCCCAGATATCAGTCTTGGGTCCATGAGCTGCCCCTCATTCAGGTCAGCTGTTTCTGTGAGTTTCTCCGACCTGGTCTTGACTCATTTGCTCATCATTCCTCCCTATCTGAAACTAGATTTCAGGATTTTGGCACAGTATTTACCTATACATGTCTGTTTCTGCTTCCATCAGCTACAGGATGAAGGCACTAGGAGGGCATATAAGGTAGTCATCAATCTCATTGTCAGAGAAGGTATTTTAAAGTAACCTCTCCAATACTGATTAGATTGTCGGTTGGAGTCATCCTTGTAGATTTCTGGAAATCTCCCTACTGCCAGACCTCTTCTCTAACCTAAAATTGTCTCCTCTGTTATGGTCTCTCATTCTGCTTTCCTCTATTTCTACCCCAACCCAATCTTATCCCCCCCATTTTTTCCTATGCCCTCCTCTTCTCCCCGTCTCATTTTCTCATCTCCCTCTCCCCTACCCACATGCTCCCAATTTGCTCAGGGGGGTCATGCCCCTATCCCCTTCTCCAGGGGCCATGCAATCTTCTCTTAGTGTACTCCTTGTTTCCTAGCTTCTCTGGTGGTGAGGATTGTAGACTGGAAATAATTTGTTTCATGTCTAAAATATGAGTGAGTACATACCAAGTTTTTCTTTCTGTGACTGGGTTACTTCACTCAGCATGGATTGTTCTACCTTCCTCCATTTGCCAGCAAACTTCAAGATTCCATTGCTTTTTTTCTGGTTAGTAGTACACCATTGTGTAAATGTACCACATTTTTTGTATACATACTTCAGTTGAGGGGCATCTAGGTTGCTTCCAGGTTCTGGCTATTACAAACAACACTGCTATGAACATAGTTCAACAGAAATCCTTGTGTTATGAATGTGAATTTTTTAGGTATATGCCCAAGAGAGGAATTGCTGGATCTTAAGGTAGACTGACCCCATTTTCCTGAAAAATGACCATACTGATTTCCAAAGTGGTTTACAAGTTTGCACTCCCACCAGCAATGTTGGAGTGGTCCTTTTTCTCCACAACCTCCCCAGCATAGAATGCCATTGGTGTTTATTTTAGCCATTGTGGCCAGTGTAAGATGCTATCTCCGCATTTCCCTGATGGCTAAGGATTTTGAGCACATTCAAATGTTTCTTTCTGCCATTTTATATTCCTCTGTTAGGGGGAGTATATTGAGATCATATATATGCTCAATAAGTCCCTGACTTATTCCCATTGCCAGTGGTAAATATATACAATGCCCAGCTACTTCTACAGAAGCATGTCTGCTGCATTCTACCATGTTACACAGTGATGATACATGATAAATCCTCTGCAGTTTTAAGCCAACCCAATAACATGTTTTTCATTTAAATGATTAGCAATGTACATGGTATCTCTTCACAACTATAGAAACCCTTAATCATTATAGGATTCCAAACCTGTTTAGAGAGGAGATATGAGAAACACTGCAAGATTTACTTTTGAGAGGATCATATTATAATAGGCTTGGGTACTTCTTCATCATGTTTTATTAATAGAAAACCTAGTATTCAATTATAACCAATCTTTATTTCATGTAACATACAACAACAGGTATTTAAATCAATGTGTTGATAGAACAACAAATAATATTATGATCATGTATTAAAAACTATCTTTTATTTTTTGATCTAGATATATTTAAAAATAGATGGTTATTACAAAAATTTTAACACCATATTTGGAAGATTCATAAGTATTTACAAAACATTCTTAAAAATTAACTGGGTTACTAGTACTTGAAAAATTACTTTAATAAGCATTATTTCAGCTTCCAGAGTTGTAGACATAGCATTAAAGAAAATGTAGAGATAAACTAGCTTAAATATGTCTAAATTAGAAAAATGTTCAAGAAAATATTGCCACTGATTTAATAGAAAGATTTGTTAGAGAAAAATCCACATAGGAATATAAACAATGTAAAATTACTTACATTTTCAGTTCTCTTGAACTTAAGTAAATATCCAGACAATTGTTTGGAAGCTGCCTCTTGTATAAAAACTGTCATGATTTGAATAATGAGCTAATGGTATAGAATGAAATATTTTCTAGAATTTATTTTAAAATATTCAAAATATATTATTCACTAAACTATACAGTATGAGTTTTACTAGCTAGAGCTTCTTATGAGATCTTGTCTCAAGCAACAGGGCAAAATTATATTCAACTATATTTGTAATTGTGTGTGTGTGTGTGTGTGTGTGTGTGTGTGTGATTGAGAAACATCTTAGTATTGTATTAACTATACAGTCCAAATTGGCTTGAATTCAAGGACATCTGCCTATCTGCGCTTTCATACTCAGCTAAATTCATATATGAAAACAATTTGACACTCATCACTAGCAGTCTGTGTTAATATAATTTCTATACACATTGAAGTATAGGGAGCTGATTACATTGGTCCAGATCACACATTTCCTTTTCAACGTTTTCTTTGGTCTTTTGATTAAAAGTTGACTTATTTCCCTGTTTTATTTCTTGACTTTTCCTCACCAAACTATTCATTCTTTCAAACAGTATTTTAGGCATTTTTGATTGTTGTATCTTTGGGACAAGACTTGTCCTCCTTTTATGTGAATCTGTGCACTGTTTTTCTGTAATCAACAACTGTAATGTAATTATATTCACTTTTTGATAATGATGGACATTCGCCAAATTTTCTTTATAAAATTTCATATGTTATCACTTCCTTAAGGTTTGTATTGGGGGAAATCTCTGTGGAGTGTCAGTTTTAGTTTCTTTCTTCTTCTTTATGTAAGATGATTTCCTCTTCCCATTTCTTGCCATATCTGTTTTTACTAGTTGCTGCTATCTTCATGTTTGAGTCTTCGTACTTAAGAGATTGATATGATTACTGCATTGGCTTTGGATTTTTGTTTTGTTTTTTCAAGATATGGTTTCAGTATAGATTTGGAGCCTATCCTGGCACTCACTCTGAGACCAGGATGGACTCAAAGTCATAGATATCCACCTGGCTCTGTCTCTGGAGTGCTGGGATTATAGAAATTGGCCACCAACTCCTCGCAACTTTGGATTTTTGAAACCTCATATATTACTGTCTCTAACTCCTAATTAGCCTCAGTTATCAACATGACAAACCTGGGATCATCTGAGCAAACATCTTTTGAGTGTGTTCTTAGATCAGAATGTCTGATTTCTGCCTGAAAAACATTGTGTTGAGTTATTACTGACATGAGAAGAATTCCACTGAATTGGCAATGTCTCTGAGCAAGTGGGCTAAGAGGGTTAGATGAGCACAAGACAGTAAAAAAGATAAAGAAAAAATAAGAAACAATGGTTCTACATGTTTTTCCTTCAGTGACTAACTTGATTTTCTATCCTAAGCTCCCCCCAAAAATAGAAACTGGCCTAAGGGTAACAACAAATTCTGTTCATTACCAGAGTAGCTGTTACTTAGATAATTTAATCACTGTAACAGTGAAGAATGTTTGAGCAAAAGTGCTACTTTTAAAGATATTTATTTGCTTTTATGGACATAGGAATGTTGACTTTTCAAAGAATATTGAAGATTTGAGACTTTAAATGGCAAAAGCCATGAAAGCTCTCCATAGTGCTGTTGTTGTAGAACATGAAAGATGGGGATGTAGAGAATAATGGCAGACCCTGTCAGTCAGGGTCAGGATTTCAGTGGGTAAAAGTCTCTGCAGGGAACCATGCAATTGGACTGACCTATCTGCCTTGAGAGACATGTGTCATAGGATATTCAGGCTAAAGCCCATGGCTCCTAGGACACAATGTACCTTCTGGTTCCTGATGAAATGGCTCTCTCATCAGGTAGTGAATCATTCAGGCTAATCTTATTTTTCTGTGTTTTCTTAGTAATCAAGGAAGTATGTAAGCTTAACAAGAAAATTTTTCTTAGACATTAATCTTATATACCATGTATGGCTCGTAATTTTCATATTATCCTGGCAACTACAACTGTATTGATCCTGGAAATTGCCACTATTTTATGTTTCTGATGAAGATATAAAAAGGCCACTTCCTCTCAATAAACCAGTCATATCCTTGTCTTGATTTGTCCCTCTAGGCCAATCCTAGCTTCATTCTTCTAAGCACATTCTTAGAAGATTTCATGAAAAACTTAAGAGTTCTTTGTGTGATATTTTGGGCCCGAATCTTTGTTAATCTCTACAGGTTCCAAAAAAGTGAATAAGGCTGGGTTTAAGATTATTGTGCTGAAGTCTTAGACAACATTTTGTTTTTGTTGATGGTTTTTATTGTTGACTCTTTCAGGTCTACAGTGAAAAGGACACAACGAGGATGATATTAATGTCTCTTTTGTTAAGATAGGAGCACTAGTAGTTTTTCATAACAATACATTGATGGAAAAGAGACAGTAATTTTCTAGGTTTTTAACACCATTAAAGAAAAGGCCCAGTGGTGCTCTGCAGCAGTCCGAGGGCTGCTGGCCCCTCCGCCACTCTCTTGCCCTCTCGGAGTCAGGCCAGGCAGACAGAAGCGGTGGCCATGTTTCTGCCACACAGCATCGAGACAGACCACAAGGACCTCATCCATGATGTGTCTTTTGACTTCCACGGGCGCCAGATGGCCACCTGCTCCAGTGACCACAGTATCAAGGTCTGGGATAAAAGTGAAAGTGGAGATTGGCAGTGTACTGCTACTTGCAAGTCACATAAAGGGTCTGTATGGCATGTGACATGGGCTCATCCTGAATTTGGACAAGTTTTGGCTTCCTGTTCTTTTGACCAAACAGCAGCTGTATGGGAAGAAATAGTAGAAGACTCAAACAAGAAACTTCGAGGCCAGAGTCACTGGGTGAAGAGGACATTTGCTCCCAAACATATGGGTCTGATGTTAGCAACCTGTTCAGCAGATGGCATAGTAAGAATATATGAGGCTCCAGAAGTTATGAATCTCAACCAGTGGTCTCTACAGCACGAGATCTCATGTAAGCTGAGCTGCAGCTGTATTTCTTGGAACACTTCTGTCTCTGATGCTCACTCCCCAATGATCGCTGTGGGAAGTAGTGACAACAGTCCAAAGGCAATGGCAAGGTTCAGATTTTTTAGTACAATGAAAACACCAGGAAGTATGCAAAAGCAGAAACTCTTATGACAGCCACAGATCCTGTTCATGATATTTCCTTTGCTCCAAATTTGGGGAGATCTTTCCACATCCTGGCAATAGCCACCAAAGATGTAAGAATTTTCACATTAAAACCTGTGAGGAAAGAACTTACTTCTTCTGGTGGTCCCACAAAATTTGAAATCCATGTCTTGCCTCAGTTTGACAATCACAACTCTCGGGTCTGGAGGGTGAGTTGGAACATAACAGGAACAGTGCTAGCATCCGCAGGAGGTGACGGCTGTGTGAAGTTGTGGAAAGCTAATTACATGGACAATTCGAAGTGTACTGGTATTTTGAAAGGTAAAGGGAGCCCAGTAAATGGGAGTTCTCAGCTGGGAAACTCAAATCCTTCACTAAGCTCAAATAATCCAAGTCTTCAAACCTCATTGCATGGACCTTCTGCTGGCAGCATGCACAGCTGAGTACAAGCTAGTTGGAGTAACTTTGCTGTTTTGCTGCTTGTTGCATGCAAACAGGAATGGAACTCAAACTTCTTTTCCCCTTCCCAGTGACGTTTGATCTCTCCCAAGATGCACCAGCAGCCTGCTCACTACTAAACACAGTCCAAAATGCCTTTAAAATTACAGTGTATATAATTTTTTGTACTGGTCAGTTTAATGACATTATAAATGGAAAGGCTTTTTGTTGAGACATCTAATCAAAACAATTTTTTGAAATGTTCTGGAGACTAACTTGGGTTTAAAACCTGAAGAGATTGCTACTATCCTCATAAATAAACTGTTGGGAGGAGAGAAAATATAGTCTTATTCTAATTTGGAGAAAAAAAGAGAGAAAGAGCCCTGGTCTTCATTTAAAGCCTAGGACAGTAGCCAAAGATTATGACTCTGTCCAGCAATGCCCTTACTTTACTGAAGGAGTAGGCAAAGTAATTTGTTGTCTCAGGAGCAACATTATTCAAAGCCTGGCAAATTTGATTCAAGCTTGGTAGGGTACACAAAATTGTGGCAGACTCACCTAATTTTTAACTGACTATGCAAACAATAAAGATGCAAAATATAAAGATGATGTGTTCTTCTTCTGTGTTCAGTTCTTCATTATAGTACACATCTATGTTTTGGACAGTCAAAGCCCAAATGAAGAGTCTGTGAGGGTTCATTGCATGAAGCAGTGAAGATGAAGCTGTGTTGCATTTGAGAACAGAGGATGTCAAGATGTCCATGCTATGAAACATCTGCCATGGAGACTTTCATGTGATGAATGGAAGTGGCAAACTTGTGAGATAGATAAGAATTCCAGGGGGTTGTGTGGTATTTTGATCATATTTTTATAATAAAGCTTGTGAGATATCAGAGACCAGAGCTACCTGTTGC